CAAGAAAATTAGTTTCTTACCAAAGGCTTGGAAATAAAATGGTCTGATTACAAAACATTGGAAATGCTGAGCATGTGGTTATGCAAAAATTGTGTTATTTTTGTGGGAATAATTACATAAAGATTCCTGAGAGAAATGCCCATTAGCCTGGAGATTGGAATGGACATTGCATTTGTTGTTCCTAGAGTATCTCTTCTTTCCTCTCTTAAAAAAGGAGGTAAACTCTCATAGGAACCAGATTCAACTGTTATCTTTCCTTGGCTGTAAGTTTTATGGTGGATTTTCTCTGAAAAATATTTCATGAGTTTCACAATTACATTTAGAGATTCAAGATTGACATCATGTTAAATTATAAGGATTATGATTAATTTGTACTTCTTATTACAAATCAGCAGTTGATGAGTTGGATATTACTATTGATGTGGAAGACCAAAAACCTGCTGAATCCAATAATCAGACAACAACTTCCATCGTGGAGTCTGAAAAATACCAAATGGATGAGCTCCAAAAGTCATCTGCTGCACCAGAAATGCAGGGAAGTGTGTCTCATCCAGAATCTCTCCAAGTGCTTAGAGAGAAATTCTTTTTATTAGTTGGGAAAAACTATCTTGAGACTACACCACCACGGAGCAAGGAAGAGCGTGATGAGTTCATGGACTTCATGCAAGACCTGAGAGTTTTCATAAAGGGTGCTAGACAAGGAAGTCTGGTGATAACAGTGCAGTGTAAATCTCTCCAGATCTTGGAGGAATTGTGGAGAGAATATTTATCTGGTCACTTGGGTGAAGTGGTTCAAAATTGTTTCGTCACGGAAATGATCTTGAAGGAACTGAATCTGGGAGAGCTGAAGCTGAAAACAACAATGGATATAGAAGAGTACAATGCATGCAAAGTGTACTTTGAGAGAGTTGCACTCAGAGGTAAGTACCTTACAATTCAAGACCAAATCATCTCAAAAATATTTGCAAAAGTGTATCTCTCTTTCATCTAGGAGTGGGTTTTAAAACTGTTACAATAATTATGAAGAATTGGTTTTAGTTTTCTATCAAGATAGAACGTGTTGTCTAATTGAAAAAATTTATGTGCTGACTGTCTAAGTCCTGCTATAAGTGATTTATTTGCAAGATGTTAGTTTGTATCTAAATTTTTGTTTAGAGTCACTTGAACTTTCTTCATTTCTTTACTTGTCGGTCTGTCTGTTTGTGTTAAAAGAAAACACTAAATTCAGTTATTTTAATTATTCCTTGAAATAGTGCATTTTTTCCTTTTGGCTGTGTTAAATTTTATTTTGAATTCTTTGTAAAATTTATTTGAAAAGAATCAATGGGGAAATGATATCAGGAAGCAGTAGTTTTGGTTGATAAAATTAATTAAATGTGGGTTATCTGCCGCACAATAATAAGATCTGTGTAACTGTTATACAATATTATTGGAAATGCAGTTTTTAGTGTCTGAATGGGAAACTCACATAATTGGTTTTCTTTTATATTTTATTCTAGGTGCTTTGTCAGCTCAGTCATACTCCACAGGTACTGAAGATGAGGCACAGATAGAAATATGGAAACAGAACACAGAGGTTGTGGAGTCAGAGAAAGTGAAAAGTAAACACAACTGAATCTAAAGCTTGCTATTCAGAAATTTAATAAAACAAAAAATTTAGCGTATGCTTTTGCAGAAACACTTCTTTGTGACATAAGGATCTGTTTTGAAATAATTTATGAGTTGTAATTGAGGAACCGAATGATGTCTTGAAGAACCAACTCTGGGAGAGTATTATTATATCTTTTCATGACCACGACACATGTTAGAATGCCCATGGCTATCTTTTCTCTAATAAGTGATTTCAAGAAAGCTATTAATAATTATAATTGCTCTGTGCACTAATTAACTCTTAGGTAGTTTACCCATTTTTGAAATGTCCACCACTGGTCACAATAAAGAAGGAGAAGAACCACAAGAAACTTTGAAAGGTGAACAGAAAATTCAGTTTTTCTTTTATGTACTCTTCTACGAGGAAATAAATCAACCAAGAATGCTCTTAAATTCTTTCAACTCTTATAAAGTGCTGGCTTTTTTTTAAACAAAATCTTGCATCCCAAGTTTGTTTTTTCTGATTCCATCCTTCATCTGTCTGTACCATGGAACTGTGAAATAGTGTATATATTACAATATTTGTGTAAAACTGGTCTCAGTAATAATTCAAAAGACATCGAAGAACTAACACTTAAAGCATGTGATTCTTTTGTTGACTTATCTGGACATAATGGAATTTGGACAATTTCTAGTCTCTTTTCACAGTTCCATAGAATCCACTTTTTTAATTTTAAATTAACCCTTGAACTTAACTATGATGGACCAAAACAGAATTTTTTTCTTTACAATACAAACTGGCAAGTGATGTCATAGGAATTGTATGGCAGACAGTAAGGAGAATCACAATGAGATCTTGGGAATGAAAGGGTTGATTTATTACATAACTATAGATTTTCTTAAGCTAGTAGTAGCAGCTAGGGGATGATGAAACAGTATTATGATAGTAAAGTAGACAGGCACTTTTCCTAACACTTAAACTCCTAAAAGGGCTAAAAACCACTAGTAAGGGTGTATTTTTCAACAGATGTGATCAGAACACTATTGAGCTGAAAAGTTGACAACAGATATGAATTTAAACCCCTTATGCCTAATGAGGATAGAAATTTTTGTAGCTTTTTAGTTTGAAATTTTGTAATTTGATGACGTCACATGAAAACAATATATTTAAACTGAGAAATCCCCTCATGTGCTCACAGTAAATGAAAACCCAATTACAAATCATTCTTAAATTTGTTTTGATGCACTGGTTATGAAGGAGAGGAAGAATTCATAGGTGTATAAATTGGCCAAAAAAGCAGTAGGAGTGAAACTATGAAGCTTCAGCAAAACCNTTTAGTGCTATCTTTTAATTCTCATTAGAAGGGTTAATTCAAAAGAATTAAAACCCAATTTAGTTGTCCCTCAATCTGTTGTTTGGTACTAGAGAATGTTAAGATGGTATTGGCTGGGGATGTTGAAACAATGGAATAAAAGGACTGGTTATTTTTTTTTTTACCTCGTATGTTATGTATTGAAAAACTGCCATTGATGTATTTTAGATAAATTTCATACTCTTTTCACAGATAGTCAGTCTGCTATGTTAAGTCATCTCTCTTTGATTGTAACACCATGAATACTAATTATATTGCCTTTTGTACGTTTACCCTTCTGTACTTCACTCTCCTCCATACTATCCACTGCTGGTCATGAAAAAGAATTGGAAGGAAGACTGAAGACTTTTACACTTCAGGAAGAGAAACGTGAGTGAAAAAGGACTCTGAAGCTAAGGTTTAGTTGGTTATAAAAAATTTAATGTAAGTGTTGTTTTTGTCAATCCAGAATGCTCTTCAGCGATTATGTAGAGTCAGATAATACTTTTCATTGTAAATCATGCCAAATGTGATTGTGCTTCATTCTCTTTTGGGTTGGCTGTGGAAATAAAACAACATACTTGTATATCAAATTGATGTTTTGAACAGCTGTTTTGGTTTAATAGTTCATAAAGGCAGTCTATCCATAAATGCGAGTTGGTGTGCCACTTTCTAACTCTTTATCTGTAGAAAAGTCAGTGAATGTTTATCTCTCTTTTCATATACCTTTGCTTTTAGGTGTCTTGCCTCCCTCAGAAGAAGAACTAGAAGAGCTACTCATGAAACTTCAAAGTATGAGAGGTGAGTAAAAGATACTGCATGCATGTTAAATTAACCTTCATGGTAAAACTGAACTAAGACTGCTTTGAAATACTTTGACTTCTCAAATATTTTGTTTGAAAGGAAATTAAACCCAATTTAGTTTTTCTCTCTCTGTCCTTTCCTCTATGTACCTTTTCCCTTAGGTACTTCACTCTCCACCAAACTCTCCACTGCTGGTCATGGAAAAGAACTGGAAGGAAGACTGAAAACTATGAAACTTCAGGAAGAGAAATGTAAGTGAAAAAGGACTCTGAAGCTAGCTGGTCATAATCAGAATTGAATTTACTAATAAAATGAGATCTTGGGAACAAAGGGGTTTATTTAATTGTTACAACAGTACTGTATAATAATTTCCTATTTTTTTTTATAGGATTTTAAACTTAAAAGTTTTAGCACAAACAAACCCATAAGCTTTTCATCTAAAACTTTTTGCTGTTTTAAACAAACCCTAAGTATCCATCTATCTTGATATTCACATTGGTATGTCTTGTGGTAACTTTTTCCATGGCAATCACTGAATGCTAATCTGTCTGTGTACCTTTGAGCTTAGGCACCTGGCCTGTCCTTGAATTTTCTGCCTCTGATCCTGAGGAAGATTTAGCAAAGCTACGTATGAAAC